GAGAGAGAGAAACCAAAATAAAGTATAGCTGATTTACAATTTATGTTCATTTCAGGTATACAGCAAGGTAATTCCATTACATATATATATATATATATTACTTTTCAGATTATTTTCCATTACAGGTTATTACAAGATATTGAATATGGTTCCTTGTGCTATACAGTCGGTCCTTGTTGTTTATTTATTTTATATATAGTAGAGCATATATGTTAGCACCAAATTCCTAATTTATCCCCCCTCCACTAAACTTTTTAGCTCCAAAGTTGATGTACATTAACTTGCAGTAAATTCAATTAGTGTTTTTTTTTTTCAAATAAATTTTAATGGCACCATTGGGCACCTGGAAAAGGGGTGGCCAAAAGGAGGAGGCGGGGGAGAGCTGAAGATAGGAAAGAATTTTTTCCTTGTCAATTCTGCCTATTTATTAATTGCTCACTGCTCCTGATAGCAAATCTCCACCCTGCTCCTCCCTACTGGCCTCCTATCAGTTACCTACCAGACTTGAGTCCCTAATAAGTAATCGCCTCTTCAACAACTGCCAGCAGACACAATGTGACACATGGGCCTCCTCCTCGCACCATTGGTCCCATCCCCAATAGCCACTGGGCACTTGTGGCAAGTGATTAGAAGCAGGAGATGCTGGCAACTGCTATAGAACACACACATCCAGGAAGTGCGTTTATGTAAAGGTTCCTGGCAGTTTGGATGCTGAGCATCAAATAAAAGACTTACCAAAAAATGTTCAGGGGAATGGACCAAGAAACCGTCTTCTATCTTGCCTTTTTCTATGTAGCGTCTTTATAAAAGAAATGTTGCATCTTTGTGGTTGGATTTTCAAAGGTAAAGCTGTCCAATGGGAGAGGAGAAGGACTGCTGCTTTCCAGGCAACTTCCTTGAAAATTCAAGTCATTTAAGAAGAAAGACAACTGAACAGGTTTTGGTTCCTTTTACTTTTGTAGTCAACTTCAGGGAGATGGTTATTTAACACTCCTCTATATAGACATTCCTTCCATCAGGTCAAAGACCCCCACCCTCCGAACACACACCCTAACACTGTCATCATTCCCAAAGCCTCTTCTTAGAAACTCAGAGCTCACATTCCTCCACAAGGGAAAGCCGTCCCCTCCATGGCATCCAGCCTTCTTTCCTTTCAGTCCTAGACAGGGATCTTAAGGAACTCTGTCATCTCTTCTTTTCCCAAAATTATCCCCTAGCTCTTTCCTCTTCTCCTTTAAATATAACCAGGACACTCCAGTGTGGAAAACACATTTGCTCACTACTCCTGCACCAATTCAACTGTCTTTTTTCACTCATAGCTAAATACTTCAAATGATTATTCAACATTTATTCATCCTTTGGGATCACCACCTACTCTGTTTTCATTAATCCACAAAAATGTGTCCTAAGGTCAATAAGGACTTTGGGTTGGACAAATTCAGTGCTCTTCTTTTGGAATTTACCTTCTCATACACTTTTCCTTATCTCGTTGGGATTTAGCAGGAGTGAGGGAGACTTGAGAGGAGTAACAGCTGTTGGGGGGCTGCTGGTGGGCATTTCTGGATTTGGTTTCCTCTATAAGACTATCATCACTCACTCTATCTCCTTAGGTATAGTACAATCTAGAAGAATTTCTTAGTATAGGAAATCAGCAAATTCTTGGCCCTGAAGATGGGGTCAGAGATCACCCCCCTTTCCACAAATTATAGCTGAATGTGTGAGTGCTTAGGTCTGAGGTGGGCCCAACGAATCTCTGATCTCCACCTTGGGTGGCTCTTCACCAGACAGTCTCTCCATCATCAGTTTTCAAGAACTGCAGCTCTCACCCATCCTGAATCCTTAATTCAGTACCTTCTCCATCTCTTTTCTCTTGTTTCAAACTGAGTTTCTCTCTGCGTCACTGTCGTTCACGCAGCCTCGGGGTCTGTCCCAACACTGATTTTTCCATTATCATGAACATTCCCCAAACCACACTCAGAAACCACAATTCCCTTCTCTTGTTCTCACAGAAGCACTAAGTTGAGAAATAACCCTTAATTAATTGTAGGCTCTCTCTTCCTTAAAAACCATAGTTGATAGTCTTGAACTTCTTAGTATCATTAAGACCAGAATGGAATCTTGAGAAGTCGGTTCTTCGGTAACATCACCTTTAAATAATTATGCAATGACTTTATCTGGAGAACTCAGAACTCTGCCCCAAGCCACTGGGGTTTGGTTAATGTGAACCTGCAGTCCATCTGCCAATCATCCTAGAGTCACCTGAATACCTTACACCTGGAGCACCAAGTACGCTACTCTAATAAAGGAATCCGACAGTTTTATTAAAGAGCCACAGGTTAAATGCAGAGTTGCCATCAATACAAAAGCTAGGAGCCTTGGTCAAATTACATGCTTTTAAGTTCGATGTGTGGACGTGAAGATATTTACGGATATCCCCATACATTTTAATGATTTAGAATGAGAGTTATTAACCTGAGGTTTGAAACCACCTTCAAATGTGTACATTTTTCTAGTGCAAAGGTTCAGCATTTTCATCAGATCCTTAAGGGGTTTATGGCCTCCAAAAAGTTTAAGAACCTCTGTTTTAGAGGAAAGGTAAGGTTAAAATCAAGATATTATTATTTTATATATTTCTAAATGCATTAAATAAAAGTAGCAAATAACTTCCATTTCAGCAAACAGCAAGATAAAATATGCTGAATATTGTACATAATCATAACATGCTTAGTTAACTATGTTTAAACACTAATATAGACAATGTTATCCTAGCATTTTACATACTAAGTATTTACCTTAATATACACAAAACAAGTTTATCAGGAAGGCAGAAGTCCCAATACAGATTTTAACCTAGATTGGTGGGGGAGGGTATATAGCTCAGTGGTAG